GAGCTGGGGCAGTGCTAGACTGGAGCTGGGGCAGTACAGGACAGGAGCTGGGGCAGGTCTGGGCTGGAGCTGCACTCTCTCACACACACCTGTACTCTCTCACACACACCTGTACTCTCACAAACACCTGTATTCTCTCTCTCTCACACACACCTGTACTCTCACAAACACACACCTGCACTTTCTCACACACACACCTGTACTCTCACACACAACTGCACTCTCACAAACACCTGTATTCTCTCTCACACACACACCTGCACTCTCTCACAAACACCTGCACTCTCACACACACACCTGCACTCTCACACACACCTACTTGAACTCTAACACACCTGAATTCTAACACACACCTGAACTCACACATGTGCACTCTAACAGACTCATACCTACACCCTTGGACACATACATACCTGAACTCACACACACAGTCATGGGTAGAGACACTCCCACTCCCAGAAGCGCTCAGAGTGACAGAGCATGCTTAAATAACTACCATTTCAACCTCCACCGCATGACTCATATCTGGTATGAAAGGTGTTACTGAGTAGATTATAGAGCAAAGCAATTACTGTTATTATTAACTGCTGTTAATGCAACACTTGCTGAAACTACCACACCAACATGCCTGCTGTACCTGCCTGCTGACAACACAAGCAGCTATGTGACGGGACCAGCTCTTTTAGGAGCAGTTCTGAGGAAAGTCAATGACATGCACTCACACATGCTCATGATGTGCACTCAGAGCTGGGGAGATACCTTGCCCTTGCAGAACAAAAATTAGTTGAACAAAGTGACCAGGACTGTTGGCAAGATCATCAGCTCTTCCTTGGACGCAATTACCATGTCTCTGTATGTGCCCACAATCTTAGATGACCCCTCTCATTTACTCTTAAGAACATACTCTCCTACCCTCCGGGAGGAGGTACTCTATCGCCCGGGGATACGAGAGTATTAACTTCCTTTCTACCTCAAAGCATTCAATTGTTGAACAATGAAAACAATTGTTTGCAGCTAAGGATCATAATACTATTATTGTTTTTACACTCTCTACAAGCGAATTGTCTGTTTTTAAATCTCATGGTACTGGAAGAGTTCTGCCTGAGCACTTTTATTAACTGTTGTTTTGTATTACGGTATTGTACTGTTGTTCTACTGTTGTCATATATGTTATACTGTATGTTATGAGCTCTTGATGTGAAGACCAATTCCCTTAGGGGCAGTAAAGGCTTATTCGATGTTTTAGTGCATCATGGGGCTCGTGTTGTTTAAGGTGAAAGGTGGAATACAAATCCTCTCTTGTGAGTATTTTGCACCAGTGCCTCTCCTGTTCCTTTGTGCAGTTTGAACAGTGAGGTCTGGGAGTGTGTTGAGACTGCTGTGTGGGGTTGTTGGTCTGGCAGGAAGGGACTCTGATACCTTCCTTAATACAGATGTCCTTCTTCCTGCTTCAGGGATACAACCCAAACTCTGGGAAACGTCCTGACAGGCCTTTATCCGAACCTTCTCTACATGATCCCAGTGGCATCTAAAATTCCAAGAACCGTTCCCGAAATGCTCTTGCCCGAGGGAAGGCGAAGGCGGACCAGACTCGGACTCACAGAGCCCACCGGACCCTGCCAGTTGAGACATTAGAAACAAAGCTTTGGTAACTACCAAAGGCAGAGCTCATGAGGAAGAACACCTACAGCTGTGATCACGTCTTTGTACTTGTACAGTACAGTATATTTCTGATGAGAAAGTCACACATCTGTGTGCATAAACTAGACCCCGCTGAGGACTGCAGAGCTTGGCAGTCAAAAGCTGTACCTACTAATGCAGTCCATTCCGCCGTATGTATTGAGCCCAACCAGCTCTTTAAGTTTGTGATGCATTTCTAATTAATTGGATCATAGAATTAAGGAGTTGTTTGTACTGCAGGCCTGAGCCAGGCTGGGGGGGAGGTCTTGACTTCTCCAGCTACAGAATCTCCAGAGCACGGCCCAGCCAATCACAGGTGAGCAGGGCCCTGATTGGTCAGGCCGCTGGCTCTGTGTTTTTGGCTGCAGGGCTGTTGCTCCGTCTCTGAGGATTCAGCTCAAACAAGCCTCCTTCCTCCCCGCTCCCCGCTCCCCCCTGCCCTGGCTCTGCTCTCTTTCCTCAACCAATTCTTGACAATAAGTATACATTTCAAACGTGCACATACTGCTATAACAACAACACTATCAAATCTACACGATCTTCTTAGCATCTTTATCACAACAGCATTTATATCTCTAAACATAGATTTGTTCCTGGGAGTATAGATGGTATGAATCACCCTATGTGGGCACCGTTTTTGCCCCCTCCCCATCTGAGACCTCCCTCCTGCGCTGGGGCAGTAAGCTGCATGACCCCCGGCACCATCTGAGCTCTTGTTGGTAAAACTCTTTCTCTCCCTTCTGTCCTCACTGTCCTCTCTCTCTGTCTGTCACCCTCCAGGTCCTCTCTTCCACTCTCTCCTCCCTCTCCCTCTTTCCCCCTTCTTCCTCTCTCTCTCCTCTCTCTCCCTCCTTGCTCCCTCTCTCCCTCCTTCCTCTCTCTCTTCCTCCTTCTTCTTTCTCTCCCACCTCCCTCTCTCTCCTCTCTCTCACTCCTGCCTCTCTCCTCTCTCTCACTCCTGCCTCTCTCTCCCTCCTCCCTCTCCTGCCTCTCTCCCTCCTCGACTCCTCTCACCCCTCTCTGACCGCAGGGCCACTACAGTCCTGACTGATGAGAGGAGGTAGCAGGAGTCTCTGATTCGGGTCTGACCAGCTGCAGCCCCTTGTGCAAACCACACTGACAATGCCGAAGAGTGAAACATGTGGCACTATGCGCTCCACTTGGCCATCTGCTCCAACGGGCTGCAGAGCAACGCTACCACTAGTGCTGCCCAGCTCCTGGTGCCGGCGTGTGTGCAGTACGAGAGCCCGCCGTGCTCAGGCCACCGGGAGCGCATCACACTGCTCTGCAATGGGAGTCTTATCCGTCCCCTTGCCACATGGCTGACCTTCGACCTGGTGTGAAGTGGGCTTCTGTTGCCCACTGCTCAGCCCCACACACACCTTCCCTCCAGAGGCTCAGTCAAACCTCAAGCCCGAAAACAGGGGCAGCTTCCCAGCTGGAGCCCACAGTCAACAGGTCCACAGTGGCCGGTCACTGCCCGGCTTGTCTGCATGAAAGCTGCAGCTGGAAGCCCCTGCCAGAGGCGTAACTTTCATCTCGTCTGACTACGGGCTCGTGATCAGTCTCAGTCTCAGTAAAGGGCAGAGGAGCGAGCGGACGCTGCACCAGCACTTCTTTTACACCATCTTAGGAAAAGTCCGAATGAATTTGTTTTTTATGTTTTTCTGGGGGGGCGGAATTCTCCTCCTTTTGATACCGGAAGTCACTGCAGGGGGTCCAAAAAGGTGAGGTGCTGTACAGGCAGGCAGCAGCAGTGACGCCCTCGAGCACAAACGAAGCAAAGGGAACTGATGAACCTGAGGAGTTAACTACCACCGGCGAGAATAAGAAAAGGGAATTGGTGAAAAAAACAAGTCTAGCTTTGATAAACCACAACTTTATCACAGCTACAACTGGGGAAGAGAGAAAACATCGTAAGAGCAGATGGAAGCCTTTGAGAAGGGCTTCCACTGGTGTGCTGAGCACCAGCTTTGTTCTCTACCCTTAAACTCCAGCTACATTTCTGAGGGAAACTGAGGGGAGATTTTGCTTGAGGTGTTTTAGACCCTTGTCTTCCAGTCCACAGACCAGTCCCTGCTGTAACTGTAACTGAAACTGACATGACGGAATGAGTCACTACCTTGCTGTGGATACAAACAGACAGGGGAGAAACACTGTTCCAGACAGCTGGTCATAGGGTGCTCAGGGGGGAAGTTAAGGGGCAGGTAAGGGTTTTAGATCAGAGATTTTTAGGCAATTTGATTCAGGGCTTCGGAACCTGGGAGTCTGGATCCTGATTTCCCACCTCCCACCTGGGCAGGGCTCCCTGAGTTAATTCTAAAGGTCAGCTTCCTGATTCTGCTAAATCACCTCATGCTGATACCACAGCCTTTTACTGGCATTTATCTGCAAAGGAAATAACGATAAACCTGTCAGCTGTGGCTCCTTTAAGGCACCGATTTACAGCCTGTTGGCCAGATCAGCAGCTGAGCGCTGAGGGTCAGGCTGGCCCAACCCTGGTTTGTGGGTCACTGGTCGTCCAGTGCAGGACGGACCAGGACGGGCCCACCGCAGGTGTGGATACACAGACCATAGTCCACACAGTAAACACCCCTAAAATTCGAGGAGACCCGTTGAGGTGAAGCAGCAAGAGGGAGGGGTTGAAAAGAGAAGGAGGAGAACAAACGTGAGCATCAGAGATGAAGAGAAAGACAGCCGGACTTTGAGAGACAGGTCAGAGGTCAAGAGAGAGGGAGACAGAAGGTCCCAGGGGTCAGGTCTAGGTCACCTCACCTTTGATCTGCATCTCGTACTCCGCCAGGGTGCCCTTCTCCTTGCGCAGCTTGACGTGAGACGACATGGCTCAAGCTGAAGGGGGCGCTCTCTCTGGACTGGTGCGGCGGGTGGTCTTCACACTAAGGTACTCACTTCGGCAGCTGTCCTCACCACAGGAGGGGCAGCATGGCAGTGGGGGGCTAGAGGTGTCCAGGCCCAGCGCTGCCGGACAGTGTCCAGGGCTGGAGTGTGCTGCTCCTCCACAGCCCTCCGCCGTCTCGCCACGCCTGACTCCTGCAGAGCACAGCAGCACTTCCGCAAATGAGGCTTCCTGGTTGTTGTTTTTTTTTTTTTGCTCGCAATTAGACTTCAAATGATTTTAAAAAGAGGGCAAAAAATTGGTTTTGTGCTGGTGTCTCAGGGGAACAGAGTCGAGCGCCAACACCGACAGAAGAGCAAAGTGCGAGTGAGTGAGGGAATCTGGGCCTATAAAATGACAATAAATCAATTCCAGTAAATTCCAATAGACTGCAATAATTTCAAGTTGTTTCCTGCACTTTCCAGTGGTCTGCAGTAATTTCCGGTGGCCTGCAGTAATTTCCAGTGGTCCGCAGGAATTTCCGGTGGTCTGCAGTAATTTCCAGTGGTCCGCAGTAATTTCCGGTGGTCCGCAGTAATTTCCGGTGGTCCGCAGTAACGTTTAGCTGCTTTGTCTGGTTCTGTCCCGTGATCAGTCCCTATGGGTCTCGGGAGAAACCCAGCAGGTCGGACTGTGGATTCTCCCCCTCTGGACACTGTCCCGAGAGACTGGAGGGGCTGCTCTAGAAAGGCCCTCAGTTCGATCAAGCCTCAGTGAAGGGGGGCCGACAGACTGATTGTCTTCTCTGTCCCGAAAACCTCGTCATGGGTTTTGTGCCCTGGAAAGCACGCCAAGAGGCCAGGTGCTGAGCGTCCGTGTGCCTGTGTGGCTCCGCTGAGAGGCCTCTGCTCCCTGGAAGACAGTGAGAAACCCGTTCACACGCGGGGCGTAACAACCACACCTTACTGATGAGCCCCTTCGCAAGCCAGGATATAGGCAAAAAACACCTTCAGGAAGGAAAACGCTTGAAAATGACCCCTGAGGAGCCTGGTTTTGCTAGAGATCTGCGTACACGTATAATCTAAAATGCATCATTTTACCTCCTGAATCGTTCGCATGACTACATACAGCTGGGGGGGATTATCGTGCTATTTTAGCAAACCCTAAAACTCGTCAAGGCTGCAAATGCAAACAATCGTAACCCAGGAAGTGCCGAAGCCTGGCCAGCGGACAGGCGAAGAGAAGAAGAGCAAGGCAGAGCCGGGAGAGGAGAGGCGGACTGCCAGACAGGGACGCACAAGGCGTTTGCCTTCAAACATGTTTAAGCACAGAAGTAAGAATCTGGGCGTGAAAAGTCCCAGATTCAAGAGTTGAGAACACAGAAGCAGCATTTCTGAAACCAGTTTGGCTGACAGACTGTGCTGCGACTAGATCGCACCGAAACTGAGGCAGCGCCCATTGTGGCCTATCTGCAGAACACGAAGTGTTAATGAAGAGGCAGTGAGGAGCACACAAGCCCTGACGCTTGCTTGCACGCGCACTGCTGCAGACACAGGGGTCAGAGTGTGAGAGGGGCTGGGAGTGGATCACATGAGCCAGCTGTGACGGGCTGGGCTATACTTCACAAAGGCGCCTATTTATCCCGACTCCTCCATCCCAGCACCCCCACCCCCCGGGCTCCCTCACAGAACCTCGACTGTTCACGCTCACCTGTGTTGACACTCCTAAAACCTCTTTCAGGAATCACAAGTCAGACATAGCAGCCTGATCCGCTCCAGGCTTCACTACAGGCTGCGAGTTCTTGGGCAGAAGCCAATGTCAACAGGTCAACAATCCTGTTTCTCTGTAACAGCTCTTCTAAGTCTCGTGAGCTTTGCTGATCACCTGCACTGATTCATCTGAAGTACCACTTCCCTTA